AGGGAGTCTGCTTCTCCCTCTGACCTTCCTCCCTCTCATGCTCTCTGTCTCTCATTCTCTCTCTCTCAAATAAATAAAAATAAAATCTTTAAAAAAAAAAAAAAAGAAGTTCCTAATTTTTAATATAATCTGACTTCTATTTTTAAATATTTTTTCTTTTATGAAGAATATCTTTTGTGTCCTGTTAAAAAAATCTTTTTTATTCCAAGATCACAAAGATGCAACTTTTCTCTAAAAGCTTTATTGTTTTAACTTTCATGTTTAGATCTGCAATCCAGCTGGTGTTGATATTTGTATGTGGTGTGAGGTAGGGGAACAAAACAATTAAAAAAAAATGCAGGTAACCAATAGACACAGTATCATTTATTGAAAACAGCAACCTTTCCCCAGTGACTGCGGGGTCACCTTTGTCATAAGTCAGGTGAATATAAGTGTATGGGTCTCTCTCTGACTCTCTGGTTCCATTCATCAATTTGTCTCTCTTCACCAATGCCACACAACCCTTATTACTATACCTTTATAATTATGTTCTTTTTTTAACACAGCATCCCGTTCTTGTGTTATGGGTACAGCATTTTGTCTCCCTAAAGATTTTGCCTGGTTGAAGTTTTCTTCTGCTCCCTACTCTCTTGGTTTCCTCCAAGCTCTCTTTTCTGTTTTTCTTGGTCTCTGTAGTTTCTGCCACAGCTGTCCTTACACTGGGGTAATCCTTGCCTGCCCTTTCATATTGAGAGGCAAGACTCTAGGAAGCCACTGAAAACCCTGAGTGGATGAATAGGGCTTAGCACTTTGGGGGCTTCCTGGGGGTGCTGGGGTAGGCATGTTATCACTCTTTGTGGGGGTTTTCTCTTTGGCTCATCAGTTTCTCAGCAGTGAACCCTCTGATCTCCCGACTGGGAAAAGAAGACTCACTGTCAAAGTCTTGGGTGACAAGTGAGGAAGGGCTAGGGGTGTCCCACCTTTCACAATGTCAACCTTCTCTCAGTTCACCTGTTTCGAGCACAGTGCACCCCCTCACCCAGCTGTGCCTAGAGTACCAAATGCGGGGGTGCCTCTGGCTCACCATCTCCAGGGAGCAAATCTCCGGCTTCTGCCAAGTGCCTGGCTGTCACTTGGCTGCAGGGAATGGGGGACGCCTGCTCCTTTTATGCACCTTCGATAGTCATTTCAGCCCATCCTCACCTCTCAGCCAGAGAATCCCAGTCCAGAACCTGTCAGGGGCTGCCACACACACTGGATGCCTTTGTCCAGATCTGTGTTCTTTTTGCTGTTTGTTTCCTGACTATTTTCTTTTTTTTTTTTTTTTAAGATTTTATTTATTTGGGGTGCCTGAGTGGCTCAGTCGTTAAGCGTCTGCCTTCGGCTCAGGTCATGATCCCAGGGTCCTGGGATCGAGCCCCGCATCAGACTCCCTGCTCTGCGGGAAGCCTGCTTCTCCCTCTCCCACTCCCTCGGCTTGTGTTCCCTCTTTCGCTGTGTCTCTCTCTGTCAAATAAATAAATAAAATCTTTAAAAAAAAAAAAAAGTTTTTTTTTTTTAATTTGACAGAGAGAGAGAGAGCGCAAGTAGGCAAAGAGGCAAGCAGTGGGAGAGGGAGAAGCAGGCTCCCGGCAGAGCAAGGAGCCCGATGTGGGGCTCGATCCCAGGACCCTGGGACCATGACCCGAGCCAAAGGCAGACGCTTAACGACTGAGCCACCCAGGCGCCCCTGTTTCCTGACTATTTTCAAAACTCATTCATGCCTTTATCTCAGAACGAGAGAGGGTTTGAAAGAGCAAGAGATCCCAGCTCTCTCTCGCTGTAACTCAGTTCCCGTTCATGTTTCTGCTTTCCATCTGCCAAAATGTTGTCAGCATCCCTCACCTGCCGTAGTTCCTGCTCTCTTCTTTGTCTTTTTGTGTTTACCCTTTGTATGCCTTTGCTATCAATGTTGGTGGGTTTCAGAGGGAGCACAGGCTTGGTCTTCTGTGGGTAACTGGGATCCCCCTTTGAGCTTCGCACTCCCTGTTCCTTCTCTCTGGAATGTTCTTCCTATCACTCTTCCCTTTAGTGGCCCATTGCCATCCTTCAGGTCTCAGGGCAGTCTGTTGCCTCCTCAAGGAAGACTTCCTGGAATGCTTCCTTATGTGGAGTAGCTCCCTGCACCCCAGCTCCATTCTCTCTCATCGCCATCATCCTTGGGGTGTCCTTGCCT